AGGGTTTGAAAGTCTCGACTAAGCCAATCAAGTCAATATTATCACCCTTGACAATATCTTTAATTTGATCCCGGCGCCCCCGAGCGCCAAAACCTCTTATATTCTAGAAAAGGGCTTTCATTTGAAAGATAGATTTTTAATGCGCAGACTCGACCTGCAGGGTGCCAAGCAGGATTTAGCACGTTTAGAAACACCCTTCTTCACAGAAGGTTGAGGAACAACATCGCTAGCAGAGCCCCCCTCCTCCGAAACCCCAGCAGCCACAACTGAGGGGGCGGGAGGAGCCGCAACGGCCTCTTTAGCCTTGGCCAAAGCCGCCTGGGCCACCTCATTGGCCCTAATGAGAGCGATCATGGAAGAAGGGGACCCAAAATTATGGTCAAGAGAGATGCCAGAATCAGCGAGGACCTTAGTCAAATGTTCATCCGAATAGGAAGGTAGGACAAGCCTAATGGGGGAAGAAGAAACATGAACCAACGGAGCGTGGTCGGGAGTCATACCTGAAGCAGGGAGATCACGAGCCGCAGCACGCCTAACCGCCTTGTCCACCACCCGCAGCCCACTGTCCGGATCCGGCCACTTTTGCGCATCGTAGAGGAGGGAGATCGAATCGGAGAAGCTCGAGCCTCCACCGGAGACGCTTGGCCCGCCACGGCGCCCATATCACCATCGAGGCAGCGACATAGGCCCGCCGCCGACAGCTTGGTCCCAGATGAAGCCCGACTGCGAGCAGAGAACTTGCGAACCGAAGACTTGCGCTTGGGAAGAGAGCCCGTTGCAGCGCGACGCGGTGAAGCAGGGAGATCCTCAATGCCCGAGAGCGACGGAGAGCCTGGCTGGGCCGACAAGTTGGAGCACACCCCCGACACAGGAGTACCAGCAGGGGGGGCAATCGGGGCAGCCTGAGCAGAAACCTGAACATTCGCATCAACATCCATCTGGTCCTTTCCTCCTTCCTTGGCCTTCGGAGCACTATCCTTGAAAAGGTCGCGGCTAACTGAGCCCATTCCCTCCCACACAGAGGTCGTGAAGCGCGGAAGCGAGCCCCCACTCATATTGCCAGCATTGTCACCCTCGCCCCCAAGGTTGTCGGTAGGAGGAGGAGGAGGCGGGAGTGGGGATTGGGTAGTGGCGGCACCTTCCACACGAACCCGAAGCCTGAAACCATCCGCAGCAGGGAAAACATCGACACAACCATGGATGCAGAGGGGGTCCACGACCCAGATCTTGAGGCGCACAGGTCCAAGGACAGAGAGGGAATCTTGGTCAACCAAGATCGGTTTGCTAATGGGAACACCGAAGGCCATGACGAATTCTGAAGAGCGTAAGGTGGGAGGGACATCATCCACAAGGACCCAGATCTCTGAGAGAGGATGAATAGGTTTAGCTCCATTAGTGGCCGCCTTCACCGAAACTACCAACTGGTTAAGAGGGAGAGTGAAACTAGTGCAAGAAGAAATCATTTTGAGGCTGCTCTTAGAGGGGAAGACCACCGCGAAATCAAAATCGGACAGCTGTCGGATCTGCCAATCCCAACCACCAACGTCCCACAGTTTGAGCTCGTCCAAGAGGGTTTGGGTGGTGATTTTATGGTCTTTGATCGAGATGATCGCGGCGTTGGAGAGCGCAGGAGCCACAGCAACCTGAGGAATGTCACTGTCAAGCGCGAGGAAGGAGCAACCAGGAAGGCCTTGGCCAAACAGCTTAAAGGAAGCAGATTTCCGACGGTTTTGGCAGTTCACGGTCAGATGGTCGTCCTCTCTACAGATCAGGCAGAACGGGGGGTTGAAACAACATGATTGGAAGTGGCCAGGTTGGTGGCAAGCGAAACACGTGAGATTAGGGTTTGGGGGCTGGAGAGGCGGAGGAGAAGGACGGGCAGGTGGAGAGGGAGGAGGGAGGATCCCATCGCCCAAGGCGCCAAAGGACGAACCAGGGTCGGACGCCGGGGGCCGACGACCGAGGACGCCAGATCCACCGCCCCCGCGACCCAGCAAGCGCCCCCCG